AACCCTAACCCTAACCCTAACCCTAACCCTAACCCTAACCCTAACCCTAACCCTAACCCTAACCCTAACCCTAACCCTAACCCTAACCCTAACCCTAAACCCTACGGCCTCCCCGTGCGGTCCATATAACATCCCGGCAATGGGTGGAACCAATGCACCACGCCATGTACATGGCTGACGGGCCTGCCACCCTAAACAAATAGATTGGGGCATGCCACATGTATAACAATACTGGAACGGGATATAATCTACCTGGGACCGGACCTGGATTATCTACTACTTGGCAGCCTGGCTATCAGGATGTTGGCATGAATATAACTCATGGTTACCATCCCAGCCACTAGTGGTGTAAATATAATACTGATTTAATTATGTCCAGGCTTCCTGCTTAATGAATTCATGGTTAATTCTGGCCTGCATGGCCCCAGACTGCTGATGAATAGCTGCCGGGGGGTATTGCAGACGGGGTGGAATGGCTGCCAGCACAGGGGCTGCCATGTGGGGGCTACTTCCATGCCTAAACCCGGATCTGGGGGGCACCTGGGACATGAATGAATTGTCTATCTGAATGGACACCGCGCGGGTGACTGGACAGGGGGCAGATGGGGATATAGGTGGTGCTAATTAGGTGGGTGATAGGGATGGTAGTACCTGGGATGTTGAGCTGGGTGCTATAAGGGTTGGTAATGTTAGGATAGGATTAACTAGCTCCTGTACTCCTTACTTAGAATTGCATGTATTATATAGTAACTCCTCTAGATTAATATCCTGGCACTACTACCAGGAATACCTATTAATAGTCCTGTCCAAGTACTAGTCTAATATATACTATTAATATAAAACCCCCTGGACCTCTATATACTACTACATATACTTAAAATTAGCCTTGGTAACCCAGTTAATCTATAGATCTGGACTATCCCATCCCTAGGGCTGGATAATAATAGCTTTACTAGCAATATTATCATGCCTAGTATGGCTACTTTCCTGCCCGTAATCTAATAATGTTCGCGGCCGGCTAATATGAATCATATACTAGATATTAGGGATATTAATCCCCATGCCTAATATACTGGTAGTACTAATAATCCAGATCTAGCTAGCCTGGAACCACTACATGATCCTAGCTTGATCTAATACCACACTATAGTATAGCTCATACCTGATTTCCCGACTAATAGCCTCCACCTGACTCTTGATATTAGCATATATAATAACCTGGCTGCCACAGGCCTGGTGGATGCGTGCCTGGATGAAACTAATTATCCTAGGAATAGTTAACTACTGGTGCAGCTCCTAGGGCACCCCATGCAGCAATATTGGCTGGTGCACGTGATATGCTATGTTTAGATAGCTGGTCTAGCTGTAATATATACCAATCTTACTAGGCTAGTACTAGATTTACTGTAAAAACATGGCTTTACTGGATAGAGGTAATGTGGCTGTTAAATATACTATCTGTATATAGGTACTGGTTAATTAGCCTAACCAGGCTATAGTAGGCTGGAAATCCTTCTACGGGTTCAATATTACATGGTATTTATTAATAATAATCTAATTTAGCTACTACAGCAACCACTGCCGGTTTAAAAATATATAGAAATTAGGGTTCTTGGTGGATTTAGGCATGACTAGCATAATTATAGTTTTATTAGGGGGGTGGTAGCTTTCCTATAATATATAATAGATTCTTAGTATCTAGTACTGCTGCATTAAATTAGCTTATAATAAAATTAATAGAATAATTATAATAATATAACCCCCTAGGGTGGTATATATAGGTAATATAAATAATATGCTCTTCCTGCCCCTAGTGGGCATGATAGTCATGACTAGGCTAGTATTATTCTAGATAGCTTTGATGGCTGGCCCCTGTATCCTGTGGAATATAATCTCTTGCCTAGTTATACACTATAATACCTGCTCTAAATTAGCTGCCTGTAATTATACCTGCTACTAGACCTAGTAGTCTATTACCTATTTCTCTTATAGGTTCTTCTACTTACCTAATATAGGGTAGTCCTCTTGAGTAAACCCTAAAAATTAGTGCTAGTCTATACTAGATACCTGGAATTTTAACTACTATATAGTAGTACTACCTTTAAACTTAGTTACTTCCTAGCTATATATTATCCTAGCTATATAGGGGGTATGGCCGGCCTGCTTATCTATAATATTCCTAATCTTATTAGGATCCTTATCTACCTCTATAGTGGCTATCTCCTACTCCTGCTTAACCTGCATGTTATTCAGGAATATACTGGATAAGTATAAAAAATAATAGTTAATGCTTACTATGATATCCTAATAATAGGTAATATTAAGTAAGTATAATAATCCTATACTGGTCTAGCTCTCCTACTTTAATATCTCGCGGAACTACTTACTAGTCTAGTCCTGGCTGCTGCTGATGTTGGGTCCCCATAATCTCAGGTTATAGTAATGACTGGGGTAGTAGTACGGGCATTAGTTAGTATAAAATACTACTAGCTATTACATAAATAGTAATACTAACTATAAATACTATATAACTAACTTGCCAATTACCTAGGGTAAATACTAGTAAATAATCTTTATATTATTGCTGGCATGGAATCCTTTATAGTATATAATAATAAATACTACTATACTATCCTTAATATATATATTTTAGTGCTAGTTAGTCTTAGTATTTACATGCTGGATACTTAATAACTCTAGGGCTTGCGCGGGTGCCTTACTAGTTAAATACATGGCCACTGCTAGCTTCTCCTTAAACTAGGCCACCTGCTGGAAATACTTCTAGATCTTGGGGCTGCTAACCTCCTCCTGGGTGGTAAAGGTGCGGGCCATGGCAGGTTCCTGTGTGATCTAGTCTAGTAGCTAGCTATGCCCAGCCACAGGCTACCGGGTCCGTGCATCCTGTAAAAAACTCTAGCTAGGGGTAGCTTTAGTAGGGTTGTTAAATAACTAATCCTATAGAATGGCGGGCTATTAATCTAGATTAGGTTAGTATAATAACCCTGCTATGAACTCCCGTGTAGCCCTGATCAAGCTATGCACGAACCCCTAGAACTTACCTATAATAAAACTTATCTTCTTATATAATAACTGCTCTTGTCCTATCCAGGTTACATGCCCGGGAGTAGTAGTGTTATAATAAATCTTTAGCCTAAAGGTCTACTAATCTAGCAATACCTCCACAGGCCTGTGCTGGCCACAGATCATAAATTGCTGGACTATCTAGTCCACTCTAGCTTAGAATGGTATTTCCTAGGTTCAGGGAATCTAGTAGATAAGGGCCACGGGCGGGCTGAGCAGGCTGGATAGTAGGCTAGATAGGGGAAATATAATAGGGGTATTAGGTTTCTCTATATACCCTTTATTAATAATAAATCCTAATTTTTTATCTATAGTATCCCCTATTTATGATCCTTGCTCTGCAGCTGTAGCCTACATGTAAATAATCTTTATGTATTATAGATCTAGCTATAATATTTTCTGTATAAGTATAAAGCACGCTACTTTTAATATCTAGGAAATAATAGGTAGGTAACTCTCAGGGCCCTGCTAGATTATCTTCTCCTGACCTAACACAGTCATGGTGTAGATTAACAGGCTCTTGTACTTGTGGACCTTAATCTTCTAATTTAATAACTTAATGCAAAACTCCAAGCATGCAGTCTTAATTATAGTTATAATAAATAGCTGGACTATAGGGGGCTGATCCTTAACCTCTATAGGATTAGGACTGTGCCAGGATTCCTGCATGATTATCTATTATAATTACTGCCATGTTTTCTACTATTAGATAGTTATAATATACTATAGTTACTACTTTTATGGCCAGTCTATCTATATATAGATAATAAATAGTAAAATTTATTACTATAGCTAGACATAGTCTTAGATACTCTTCTTATCTATATATGCCTGTAATAGCTGGTACAGGGTCTGGTGTAGTATGGTATATATAATAGCTATTTAGATCCTATTCCTATACTATTTTACTATGTGCTGGCTGTGCCAGGCCAGTGACTCTATGATATCCTATACTACGCGCGTGGCACTGCTTATGGGGTCCTCTAGCTTGGGATTGGGAGTGGCTACTACCGCGAGCAGGTCCAGAATATGTATATTAGCTAAATACTGGGCCTAGTAGGTTATGTATAGCCATGGATTGGCATCCTAGAGCTCCCTAGTCTAGATAACCTAGGTAGCTGCCTCCTGCTTGTCTGCTACCGCCCGTGCCTTGATCTCCGTGACCAGCTGCTTGTAGGTAGTGATTGGGATGGGTTGCTTCTTAGGCTGGGGATTATATAATAGGATATATACTAAATAAGAGTTTTTCTAGCTGGGGAATACCTATTACCAGGTAACTAGGTAGAATAATTACTAAAGCTAGATCTACTACTTCTCCTGCTCCCAGGCAGGAATCCCTCTATAGAACTAGTACTAGGTCTAACCATGCACTTCTTTCTAGTAGTTTTGCATGGATTTAATACTAGTAGTAATATATATATATTACTCCAGTCCCTTACTATAGCTATACTAGTATAATAGCCCGTTGGTATAAATAGAGATAATAGGAACTAGTATATCTAGTATACAGGGAATATATAAATTATCTAGCTACTAGATAATCCTCACCTAGCCAGCTATTACCTGAGTAATGGGTTAACTATTCTATAGCTTGAGGAAATACTTCTTCTACAGGTATATTATAACCTCCTTGGGATAAATACCATGCTAGTACTGGTGATATATAATAATTTATAGTATAAGGATCTTATTAAATAGCTAGTATTCTATAATAGAATATAGATAGGTAGTAGCCAGGTATAGATAAAAATATAATATTAGATAGGAAAATTAATAGAAATACTTAGAGGAATTAAAATTTAACTAGACTTTTTAGCTAGACTAGCCCCTAATTATTTAGTTTACTAGTATAACTAATCTATTACTACTATATATAGCCATCTAAGTCTATTCCCTACTAAATTTTTAATAGAACCCTAACTAACTTTAATATACTACTATATATTTACCTAATGCCTACAGGCTCTAAAACTTGGGAATCTATAATTTAAGTAGCTAATCTATATCTAGTAAAAATTTGAGCTATAACATGTAATAGGTTCTATAGGCACCCTACTCCTGAAAATTGAGCCACCCTACAATAAGCCAACCAATCAGCGCTGGTCCTCCACAAAACCCTAGAGCCACCCTAGTAGCCTTCCTCAACCCTTGTGGGATAGAAAAAACTCCTAAATATATAATCTATTACTACCTACTTAGCTTATATTTATATAACTCATACCTATCTAATCATGCCATATCTACCCAATCATGCCATACCTATCTAATCATGCCATATCTACCCAATCATGCCATACCAATCTAATCATGCCATATCTACCCAATCATGCCATACCTATCTAATCATGCCATACCTATCTAATCATGCCATATCTACCCAATCATGCCATACCTGCATAATCATGCCATACCTGCATAATCATGCCATACCTACCTAATCATGCCATACCTGCATAATCTATTACTATCTAACTAATTAATTATTATTATTATTACTAATATTAATTCTAGATTTATCTATTATTTTAAATATATATATCTCCCTATCTACCTATCTAACTACCTATTCTACTACCTATCTAACTACCTATTCTACTACCTTGCTTACTACCTACCTCACTACCTTGCTTACCACCTACCTGACCGCCTTGTTCACCACCTACCTGACCGCCTTGCTCACCACCTACTTGACCGCCTTGCTCACCACCTACCTGACCGCCTTACTTATTATTCAAAATGTCTGCCTTACCTCACTACTTGATCTTCAACCCAACCTATGGAATTCTAGCATGCCAAATCCATAAAATTGCTCTCCATCCAACTAAAATAAATGATCATGTGACTAAGGATCATCATGGCAACCTGCTAGATCTAGCTTCTATTAGGGTCCTAACCCTACAGGCTAGTTTGGAAGCAATTCGCCTAATTGAGCCAATTCAACCTCTGGAATATCTCTTGCCACCTAGGCCAGGTTTTCAATGCAAAAAATGTGGCAATTTAAAGCTTAGTCAGCAAAATATAAGGATTCATATTCGTCAACAACACCAGATTAAGGGTTATTCAAGCCAGGATATTCAGGCAACCAACTGCCTAATTCAAACCCTAGATGGTGATAGCTATATATTTTTAGTTATATCACCTGACCAACCTATTCACCCAAGCCTAACCCTAAAGCGGTCACGCCCTGATTCAATTAGTCAGACACAACCTCAGGCACGCCCTAGGGTTCAGGCATCTCCAGGCATTAATGCAACCCAATTAGCTACCCAGCTCCAGGAGGGGTTTTCATCCAAAATTAATGCTATTCGTGCTGAGCGAATTATTTTGGCTAGTGGGTCAACTTATGAAGCAAATAGCTTCCATCTCCACTCGCAATACCCCACCTTCCTAAACAGGAAGGATTCTGCTATTCTAGAACAATTATTTCTTCTAGAACCCTACCAGAATGAATTCCTTTCTGCTGTAACCCACCGCCTGCTTGTTTTAGGTCAACTTTCTATGGCTAGGACCTCAATTCCAGCCCTAATGGCCTTAAATTCTTTCAGCCAAGACCAACTAGCTATTCGTCCAATGAGAAGGCTTCAAAATCCAGAAAGTTTAAAAAAATATGGCCTTATTTTTCGGGCATTCATTATTTTTTTGATCCAGACCTTCCAGCATCAGTTGCCTGGGGCAACTAACCCTAAATCTAATCTTTATAGATTAGATGGAGCAGATATGGACTTATTAAGCAACTTGACCGCCTTCCTGAATGAGATACCAGCACCTGAAAATATGGCAGAATTAACCCCTAACCCTAGGGCATGGGATGACTGCCTAGATAATTCTGATTCTGAGTCAGATGATGATCACTATCTACCAACCCTACTAGACAGTGAATGGAAGCCTAAATTCAGCAAGGTATTAGTCATGAAGGGGTTAGGGTTAGTAGTTGAATTAGTCATGCAACTACTCAGGCAGCAAACAACTCAACCAACCCAAACCCCATTATATGCCTTTTTCGCCTGTTTTTCACGTGACTATGCACGTGACTGCTTTAAACCAGTTGGTCAGATTAGTCAGCTTTATTCTGCCATGATTAAATGCCACCAATTCACCATCCTATATTGGTTTCATGCTGAAATTCTGCCAACTGACCCTGACCGCTTTGAATATGAGATGCGCCCATTTTTTCAAGATCTTATGACTAATTACCTCACCGCCCAATCAGAGTCTCCATTAGGGCATGTCTTAGGGCTTCGGAATCTAGCCCTATATCTAGTTCGGATGGATTCAGCCCTAGGTGAAGTCAGCCTGGTTGCCCCAGAAACCTTGCGATTTCGGGATATTACAGTTAGCAAAACAAACCTGACCGCCTTCCTAATTCAGTCAATTCAGGAACTTGCCCACCAGCTATCCAATGACCTGTTTTTAGGGTTTTCAAACTTTTTAAGCTTCCAAGCTAACCCCATGACCTTAGGGTTAGCCTCACAATATGAATCCTTTAGTAATACTACTAATAATTTTGGGATTCAGGCTAACCCCATGGGTTTAGGGTTAGCTCAGTTTTTGGTCAAGCTAGCCCTGGCAGACCCTGAATGGCTGGATCTACCAAATTCTACCATTAATTATGCACGGGCCAACCAATATTTAGCAACCTCAGGCACCTTCTTGAAGACCCTATTAGCGGTATGTCACATGACTAGTGGGGCACCAGCACGTGGAACCGAAATTAATCAGGTGATCTGGCGCAATTCAACTACTACCCCCCGAAATATATATCTGGATCCAGCAAGTCAATTATTCCTAATTTGGCTAGGCTATTCAAAAACCTTTTCAATGACTGGCCTAACTGCTGAGGCAATTAGGGTTTTACCCCAATCTCTTTCCTATTTTGTACTAGTCTATTTACTAGTCATTCGACCTTTTGAAGAATTCCTGATACTATCAATCAACCAACAACTGCCTCCTAATGATTATTTGCTATTTTTAGATTGGAAATCTTCTCATCCAATCTCATCCCGAACCTTATCCAGAACCCTAGGATTGCTGAGTCATCGGTTACTAGGGCAACGAATTACAATTAGTCCCTGGAGACACCTGACTAAGGCATTTATTTGTCATGGTCTAAAAATAGACCCCCTAGCCTATTTTGGCAGTGAAGAGGATGAATTTGACCTGGAGACCTTAGGCGCTAAACAAATGCATCACTCAAGGTCACGTGGTCAGCTAACCTATGGCCGTATGGAAACCAGCTTCCTAGGGGTAGCCCCAGATACCCAAAATGCACTAGTGGATTTTAGTCAGCGTTGGCATGCCTATTTAGGCCTAGCGCCTGATCAGCTAATCTTAGGGTCCTTGTTTTACCCTAGATCTAGCTTCCAACCCCAACTACAACCCCAATTGCAACCCCAATTGCAACCCCAACCAGATATCCGAATTCCAATGCCTTTGGCAGAACCCCTGGTCAAGTTTAGGGTTACTAGGCGGTCAGACCATGAACTACCCCAAAACCCTATTTCTATTGGGGAATTCCATGAATTCATGTCATTATATGGTTCAAATTTCACGCCTAGCCTAGATAGGCAGGAGTCAGGTGATGAATTTGATGAATTCCAGCTATCTAGGAAGGATTCACTACCTAACCCTGACCACCTGCCTATTCTATCCCTAGGGGTTTTGGATAGGGTCCTGCAGGATTTCTTCCAGGATAATTCTGCCACTTTTCGGTCACCTAAGCAACGGGAGGCCTTTCATCTAATCATGACTAAGCCATCATATTGCTTTATTGTTCTACCTACTGCTGCTGGTAAAACAACACTATTCCTAATTGGGGCTAGCTTGGCAACTAGTCATACTACCATTATCATTTCACCACTGATATCACTAAAATTGGACCTCCAAACCAAAGCAACTGCCTTAGGCCTCCAACCAATCCTATGGGATGTGTCATGTGATATGATGTCATCAAACCTGGTTCTTATTCAAATTGAGCATGTGGTTGACCCCAAATTCCTAGGGCAGGTTCAAACCCTAATCCAACAACATAAATTGGATCGAATTATTTGGGATGAATGTCACATGATCCCATTAAGTCAGCATTTTCGTCCAATTATGCATAGGGTTAAGCAGGTTATGCAGTTGCCAGTTGCTATGGTATTTAGTACTGCCACCCTATCTAGCCCTATTCGGCAGGCGGTGATGGATATGTTTGAATTACGTCAATTTTTTGGGGTTATTCCAAGCATCCAGGATGACCTAACCCTAAAAAATATAGAATATGGGGTTATTGAAATTCCAAAAACCCTAAACCCTACTAAAACCCCTGGTTTTCTGCTAGACTTTATTCACCGCTTTGAAGCAACCCGCCATGACCAGTTGCCTCAGGCAGCTACTATTATTATCTTCTTTCTATCTAAAAGTAGCCTGAGGCAGTTTTATGAGGCATTTAGGGTTAAAATTCCAGCCCTAGCTTGTTTCCATGGGGATATGTCAGATGCAATAAAGCTGGCAGAATTGGCCAAATTCAAAAGCGGTGAAGCACGGATCCTACTAGCAACCCCTGGGGTAGGGGCTGGATTTGACTTTGATCACGTGGATCTAATTATTCACTACCAGGGGTCATATTCATTCTCGGATTTTATGCAAGAATCTGGGCGGGCTGGGCGGAATCCTAGGCGGTCAGCATGGTCATACTGCCTAGTTCGGTCATATGACAGGCAGAATCGAGTGAATGACTCAGCTAACCGCCTGGAGTTTCGGAAATATTTGAATGAGCAAATATGTCGCCGGCGGCCAATCTCTAGGAACTTTGCCCTCAGCCCTATTGAGTCATGTGATCCTAGCTGGGCCCAATGTGATCTATGTCAGTCACGGGATAGCCAGTCTAACCCTATTCGGCAGGCGGTCAAGCAATATTATCAAACAGCTGCCCAGCAAATTGAATTCCTAGGAAGGGTGGTTAAATTATGGCAGGAAAGTTACTGTCTAGTTTGCTTTTTAAAATGGGATAGTAAGTTTTTATTTCTTTATTTATTTCTTTCCTAATTAGGAAGTTTATTTACTAATTTAAACTTTAGGATCTAAATTACTAGATCCTTCTATATCTACTAGGATTTTTGCCCATTTATTTGAAAATTGCCCTGAAAATGCTACTTGGGTAATTCAACTTGAGCAATTTAGGGCTTCTTTGGGTAACCCTATTCCAGATACATGCTGTTTTAGGTGTTTTCTACCTACTAAGGTTTGTAAGGGTCCTAATGAAAGTAATAAAGGTCTCACATGCCTAGCACCTGACCTAGTTGCATTATTATGGATCCTAACAAAGCAGAATTTAGATCAAATTCATGCAAACCCTACTAAATATTGGAGGGTTGAAATTCTGCCTGAAAATCTAGGCAACCAGACCTTCCTAAAATAGAAATGGGATCTAGATACTGAAATTACTGAAGGAGCCCTTTATTTCTACTACTTTTTTCTAAATATATCTAAATTACAGCCAAAAATTATACAGGGCCCTAATATAGTTTAGATTTATTTTATTTATTTTATTTATTTTATTTATTTTATTTATTTTATTTATTTTATTTATTTTATTTATTTTATTTTATATTTCTATACTAGCTACTATTGATATTTTAATTTTAAAAAATGTGGCCTGAAAAATAAGGCATTAATAGTTGCTGCCTAGTAAATAAGGCACCTATATGGTTGCCTGACCCATCTAGTTAACCCTAGGGTATTAGGGTTACCTAAATAGGTCTAGACTACCCGCAGCTTGGCATACCCCATCAAAAAAAACCTGTTTTTTTCTTTTGACTTTCTACCTTCCTAATTAGGGAATTTTCGATTTTTTTTTAAATATTATAAAATTCTACTTCATTAGCTATCTAGATATCTAATTTTTATTAAAAAAGACCTAGAATTCATGATTTTAGGGGGGGGTATCGTATCAAACCCAATACCCCCCCCCTAGAAACCCTAAATTTTTGCAGAGTACCCCCCCCGGTATCATGACAGAATAGTAGTAGGACCTTCCTATAAATTAAAATCCTTAATACTACCTAAATACTAACTACTATTCTAGCTTATCTATCTAAATATCTAATATATAATTATGGATGGCCCTATTCTGACCCTACTTAAAATAATATACTACTACTAAACTATTTAATATACTTACTATAATCTCTTACTCTTCCTCTAAATTAAAATATTTTCCTTAAATTATATATAAACTTACTAATAAAACCTATATAATATTCTTATATTTAATTATAATTTAATAATTAATCCCTAATATCTATAGTATATATATATTACTACTAATATTATATATTTACTATAGGCTAACCCTAAATAATTAAATAGTAAAATATATATAATATTATTATAATATATTCTTAATCTTCCTATAAATCTGCTGTAATTAATAAAATACTGCCTAGATCTTAATCCCTTGCCCATTAATAGTTCCCTACCTAAAAAATACTATAATTAATATAATTTAATATATATCTATAATATAGGACTTAATAGCCTGCTAATTTCTCTTATTAGGGAATACTACCTAGCCTTTAACTATCTAGCTATATAAATGCTGCTTAAATATGTTATATATAGCCTCCCTATATGATCTATATAATATCCTGGTAATAAATAGAACCAATATACCATGCTATATATATGGCTGACGGGCTTACTACCTTAAATAAATAGATTAGGGCATGCCATATATATAATAATACTAGAATAGGATATAATCTACCTAGGACTAGACCTAGATTATCTACTATTTAGCAGCCTGGTTATTAGGGTGTTAGTATAAATATAATTTATAGTTATTATTCTAGCTACTAGTAGTATAAATATAATACTAATTTAATTATATCCAGGCTTCTTACTTAATAAATTTATAGTTAATTCTGGCCTGCATGGCCCTAGACTACTAATAGATAGCTGCTGGGGGGTATTATGGATGGGGTAGATTAGCTACTAGTATAGGGGCTGCCACGCGGGGGCTACTTCCATGCCTAAATCTGGACCTAGGGGGCACCTAGGATATGAACAAATTATCTATCTAAATAGATACCACGCGGGTGACTAGACAGGGGGTAGATAGGGATATAGGTAGTACTAATTAAATAGGTAATAGGAATAGTAATACCTGGGATATTAAGCTAGGTACTATAGGGGTTAGTAATATTAGGGTAGGACTAACTAGCTTCTATACTCTTTACTTAGAATTACATATATTATATAATAACTCCCCTAGATTAATATCCTAGTACTATTATTAGGAATATTTATTAATAATCCTATTTAAGTACTAGTCTAATATATACTATTAATATAGAACCCCCTGGACCTCTATATACTACTATACCTGCTTAAAATTAGCCTTAGTAACCTAGTTAATCTATAGATCTGGGCTATTCTACCCCTAGGGCTAGATAATAATAGCTTTGCTAGTAATATTATTATACCTAGTATGGCTACTTTCCTGCCTATAATCTAATAATATTTATAGCTAGCTAATATAAATTATATACTAGATATTAGGGATATTAATTCTTATGCCTAATATACTAGTAGTACTAATAATCTAGGTCTAGCTAGCCTAGAACTATTATATGACCCCAGCTTAATCTAATACTATATTATAGTATAGCTTATACCTGATTTCCTGATTAATAGTCTCTACCTGACTCTTGATATTAGCATATATAATAACCTAGCCACCACAGGCCTGGTAAATACGCGCCTGGATAAAACTAATCACCCCAGGGGTGGTTAATTACTGGTACAGCTCCTAGGGCACCTCATATAGTAATATTAGCTAGTGTACATGGTATGCCATATTTAGATGGCTAGTCTAGCTATAATATATACTAACCTTGCTAGGCTAGTACTAGATTTACTATAAAAATATAGCTTTACTGGATAGGGGCAACATAGCTATTAAATATACTATTTATATATAGGTACTAGCTAATTAACCTAACTAGGCTATGGCAGGCCAGAAATCCTTCTACAGGTTTAATATTATATAGTATTTATTAATAATAATCTAGTCTAGCTACTATAGTAACTACTACTAGTTTAAAAATATATAGAAATTAGGATTCTTAGTAGATTTAGGTATAACTAGTATAATTATAACTTTATTAGGGGGGTAGTAGCTTTCCTATAATATATAATAGATCTTTAGTATCTAGTACTACTATATTAAATTAGCTTATAATAAAATTAATAGGATAACTATAATAATATAATCCTCTAGAGTAGTATATATAGGTAATATAAATAATATACTTTTTTTACCTCTAGTAGGTATAATAGCTATAACTAGGCTAGTACTATCCTAAATAATTTTAATAGCTGGCCTCTATACCCTATAAAATATAATCTCCTATCTAATCATATACTATAATACCTGCTCTAAATTAACTACCTGTAATTATACCTATTACTAGATCTAGTAATTTATTATTTATTTCTCCTATAGGTTCTCTTACTTACCTAATATAGGGTAGTCTTCCTAAGTAAATCCTAAAAATTAGTACTAGTTTATACTAGATACCCAGAATTTTAACTACTATATAATAATACTATTTTTAAACTTAGTTACCTCCTGGCTATATATTATCCTAGCTATATAAGAGGTGTGGCTAGCCTGCTTATCTATAATATTCCTAATCTTATTAAGATCCTTATCTACCTTTATAGTAGTTATCTCCTGCTCCTACTTAATCTATATATTATTTAGGAATGTACTAGATAAATATAAAAAATAATAACTAATGCCTACTATAATATCTTAATAATAAGTAATATTAAGTAGGTATAATAACTTTATACTAGTCTAGCTCTCCTACTTTAATATCTTATGGAACTATTTACTAGTCTAGTCCTGGCTACTATTAATATTAGGTCCCTATAATTTTAGGTTATAGTAGTAACTAGAGTAGTAGTACAGGCATTAGTTAGTATAAAATATTACTAGCTACTATATAAATAGTAATACTAACTATAAATATTATATAATTAACTTACTAATTACCTAAGATAAATACTAATAAATAATTTTTATATTATTACTAGTATAGAATCCTTTATAGTATATAATAATAAATACTATTATACTATCCTTAATATATATATTTTAGTGCTAGTTAGTCTTAGTATTTATATACTAGATACTTAATAACTTTAAGGCTTGTATAGGTGCCCTACTAGTTAAATATATAATTACTACTAGCTTCTTCTTGAACTAGGCTATCTGCTAGAAATATTTCTAGATTTTAGAGTTACTAATCTCCCCCTAGGTAGTAAAGGTGCAGGCCATGGCAGGTTCTTGCATAATCTAGTCTAGTAGCTAGCTATATCTAGCCACAGGCCACCAGGTCCATGTATCCTGTAAAAAACTCCAGCCAGGGGTAGCTTTAATAGAATTATTAAATAACTAATCCTATAGAATAGCAGGCTATTAATCTAGATTAGATTAGTATAATAATCCTACTATAAACTCTTATATAGTCCTAACTAAACTATATATAAATCCTTAAAACTTACCTATAGTAAAACTTATCTCCTTATATAATAATTACTCCTATCCTATCTAGGTTACATGCCTAGGGGTAGTAGTATTATAATAAATCTTTAGTCTAAAGGTCTACTAATCTAGTAATATCTCTATAGGCCCGTGCTAGCTATAGACTATAAATTACTAGACTATCTAGTCTACTCTAGCTTGAAATAGTATTTCCTAAGTTTGGGGAATCTAGTAAATAAGAGCTGTAGGTGGGCTAAGTAGGCTAGATAGTAGGCTAAATAAGAGAAATATAATAAGAATATTAGGTCTCTTTATATATTCTTTATTAATAATAAATCCTAACTCTTTATCTATAGCATCCCCTATCTATAACCCTTGCTCTGCAGCCGCAGCCTATATATAGATAATCTTTATATACTATAAATCTAGCTATAATATTTTCTATACAAGCATGAAGCGCGCTACTTTTAATATTTAGGAAATAATAGGCAAGTAACTCTTAGGGCCTTACTAGATTATCTCTCCCTAACCTAATATAGCTATAATATAGATTAACAGGCTTTTATATTTATAGATCTTAATCTTCTAGTTTAGTAATTTAATATAAAACTCTAAGTATATAGTCTTGATTATAGTTATAATAAATAGCTAGATTATAGGGAGCTAATTCTTAATTTTTATAAAATTAGAATTATACCAGGATTTCTATATAGTTATTTATTATAATTACTATTATATTTTCTATTACTAGGTAATTATAATATACTATAACTATTATTTTTATGGCTAGTCTATCTACATGTGGATAATAAATAGTAAAATCTATTATTATAGCTAGATATAGTTTTAGATACTCTTCTTATTTATATATACCTATAATAGCTGGTATAAGGTCTAGTATAATATAGTATATATAGCAGCTATTTAGATCCTATTCCTGTACTATTTTACTATATATT